TAGATTATCAAGGCGTAAATCCACTAAAACAAATAAAACTACAAAAGGTACAAAGAACATGTGGCTATAGGAAATAATAGTGTAAATAACAGTACATAAACTGGCCCATGTAAAATACAAAAATATTCAATGAAGTCAGATTTTCTATAAAACAGTGCTAGAGGTATTTTAATATGAATCAGGTACGTAATCTAAATGTAGAAACTTTTAGAAACATTAACAGCGTAAAGTCAGTGCCACCCACTTGTGCTTCCAATTTTTATTTTTAAAAAAAACTGCTTTGTTTTGACTCATGAGAAATATCTAAGATCCATGTTCTTATAAGCATTATCCATTTTTATAAGGTCAATACATTAAAACACTATTTAAATAAAAAATAATTTTTAAAAATTAGATTTATATTTACTCTTTAAAAAGTTCCTTAAGCTGGCAATGCAGCTCAATGTAGCTTTAAGAGAAAGACTAGTCAGGAGTCTGATTCTGAGCCAGTAAGATTTTCAGGCTACTCTAAACAGAGAGCAAATTTAAGTGGGAGAAAATATTTATCACGCCAATATAACTCGAAAGATAGTTATAGACAGGGGCCAGCCCAGTGGCGCAAGCGGTTAAGTGTGCACACTCAGCTGCAGGGGCCCGGGGTTCGCCGGTTTGGATCCCAGGCGCGCACCGATGTACTGCTTGGCAAGCCATGCTGTGGCGGCATCCCATATAAAGTAGAGGAAGATGGGCATGGATGTTAGCCCAGGGCCAGTCTTCCTCAGCAAAAAGAGGAGGATTGGCAGATGTTAGCTCAGGGCCGATCTTCCTCACACACACACAAAAAAGACAGTTATAGACATACATGTGCTAACATGCAATTGCCTCTGTGTGTGTGTATAGCTAATCTACCAAATTAATTCAACATCAATAATATTGAGGAACCCAGATATCTCATTTTCTAGTGAATGGGGAGGGGTACATAATCTCCCACATGAAAAAACACAGGAACTTTCCATATATGGCTGCATATTAACAATTTTTTAATATTTGGTCAGCCATTCCAATAAAAAAAAGATCTAGAAGCAGCAAGAAATACTTGATGTGTTAACTGTCAAGCTGAAATGTTTTGCTTTCTCATATAAACACTAGGTGGTGCACGGTAAATGGACAATTGGTGCATCTCCCCAGAGCACAAAACTGAACACAAAATACATGAATTAATAATGATTCTACCATAATGAACAATAATAACATAAGTTTTGATTAGCACAGAACCATTTAAACGTGAAAGCCAAATTAGTAAATGTTGTAGCAATCAATGCAAACAAAGAACAACTTTTTAATGGACTAAGAGAAGACCGAGACTTTCGGGTTAGGTGCAAGTTACTTTATAAGTCTAAGTGCACTTCTTTAGGTTCCAGGACATACTGGCATTTCTTCTTTAAGGAAAAGGAAAGAATAAAACATACTGCCACCAACAAGGATATTGGAAGGCTAAAGAGAAACCTACATTAATTTTAGCCCTGCATGTAGAGGCCAATTTACGGGTACAAAGAACTAACACCCCAAATTGGCACTGCCTAGCAATTATCTCTAAAGCACCTAGAAAATGGATTGAAATGCCCAGTTGGAATAGTCTTGTGTCTTGCAATTTAAGAGTGAAATATCCAGTTTTTTCCAAAAGGATTAAACAATAAGATTAACACCTATTCTAAAACTTAAAAAGCTTTTTTGTATCTTTTGTCATTATAGCCATGCTGAATACAAATATATTGAAAAGGCATTAGAAAGCACTCATTGCTAAGAACATAATAATACTAGACCCTGTTCAACCTACTGGCATATCTCTCATAGGTCAAATATGCAGCGGTGCAAAGCAGCTAAGTTAACCTGCAAACAAAATCACAAAAAAAAGGCAAAAGGAGCAAGTACTAATCCACTGTAGAATTTGTTGTCTCAAGTCGACTACATGCAGGGAAAAAAAAATCTCTTTTCAAAAACTGTTTTTCCTAAACTGTTTATTTCTAGTCAGAATACCTAAAGTGAAAGCACTGAAATACTAATTCAAGACAATAAAATAGAACCTATAATCCAGGTGATTTTGCACATGCCTTTTGCTATAGAAATAACAGTTTTCAATTCCTTGGTAGGGGAAACCAAAATCACGTGACTAATTTGTAGTTTATAGTTTTTGGGGTGTTTTTACTTAAGTTCGAAATCCCCCATACCACCCATTCTAAGATCAGAACTGCAACTAAATATACCTTAAAGTGAACAGTATTGCATGTTGGAACTTGTACTTGCTTTATTGTTTTGTAACAAAGACCACATATGGATTAGTGTTACAGAGTCTGATATCCAGCATAACTTTTTCTTCTGCCAATTAGGTAAGCAATCACTATAACGATAATCAAGCCTGAAAGACCAGCACCAACTAGAATTGGTATTAGAATGGTGTCATCATCCAGCGAACACTCTTGGGCTGTAGGTGAGAAAAAGTGTGTAACAAATAATGAGTATAATCAAAAAAGAATGTCCAAAAGTAAAAGATGTTGATTCAAAAGTCAGAAATGTTCTTACAAGATCAACTTTAAGTAATTAAGACAGGTATACGGTCATGCGTCACTTAACAACAGGGATACATTCTGAGAAATGCATTGTTAGGTGATTTTGTCATTGTGCGAACATCACAGAGTGCACTTACACAAACCTAGATGGTATAGCCTACTACACACCTAGGCTATATGGTGCTAATCTTATGGGACCCCTGTCATATGTGTGGGCCATCATTGATTGAAACGTTGTTACGTAGCGCATGACTGTATTTTAATGATAAAGCTACAGAAAACTATGGATTATTCTAGAATTAAAATCCTAAAACTTATTTGTCCTTTCATTCATGTATGTGTGCGTATACATAGATATTCATATATATGAATACATATATACTCATTTATATCTATGACTAAACACATACATGTGTATATGTGTTTCTTTGTTTATATTCCAAGTCCTTTCCAAAATAGGAGTATTACTTTATTAGAAATGAAGAGAGTTAATCTAGACAGATTAGCCTCTTAGTAGTAGAGTGAATGTCTTTTGGGAAACTGGGAACAGATTAGGAAGGTTTAATCACGGGGTCAGAACAGCCAGGCTGGCTCTGAAGTCCTGTAGAGCAGAGATCGACAAACTATAGCCCATGGGCCAAATCTGGCCCAAGAGCTAAAAATGGCTTTTAAACATTTTTGAATGGTTGGAAAAAAAAAAAAGAAAGAAGAATATTTTGTGACACATGAGAATTATATGAAATTCAACTTTCAGTATCCATAAATAAAGTTTTATTGGAACACAGCCACACTCATTTGTTTATTGCCTATAGCTGTTTTCGTGCTACAACAGCAGAGTTGAATAGTTGTGACAGAGACCATATGGCCTCCAAACCTACAACACTTACTATCTGGGACTTGACACAGAAAGTTTGCAGATCCCTGACTTAAGAGTATATGATTTTCGTGGCTGCAAAAGTCAAGAAACTGGGACCTCTTACTAATTTGAGTGTGTTTACCACATTTATCAATCTGGTTGGGGCTGGCAGCCCATAGGGGCTATTTGTTTCTATTTGTAGAGAGTAGTCTGATACAGTGAAATCCCATCAACACTCTTTTACCTTACTACAAGTCTATTTCCTCCTCCTATACAGTCAAGTATTACCAGTGTGTTGTATTTATAGGTACCCACATTCAAGAACCTAGCTCCACAAATAAATTATGCATTCATTATCAGTTTTAAATGCTGTATACTTCTTTGAGTGACATTTTTAATTCTATGTCCATAAAAACCAAGGTTTCAAATTAGAGAAAGAACACAGCTCATCTCTATTACAGCTGACAACAGGCTTGAGCTGATATTACAGTGCAAATAATTTTAAATTCGAAACACAAATCTGGGCCTAAAATTAGGGTAATGACATAGGGAAGCTAGATAAAGACTTAAAAATAAAACTATTAAAGGATAAAAATAATGGAAGTACATAAGCAAAACTGACAAAAGGGAAAATGAATTCTTGAAAAAAAATTTCAAGTGTGATTGACCTCTCCAGTCCCAAGAATGGTAGCATGAAGAGCCCAGTTTATTTTGGCCTAACCCTAGTCAGGCTAGGTATTCAGCATTACTGCAAAAGCAGTTGAATGGCTCACAGTATATTCACTTTTAAATACAGCTTCCACATTTCCTTCCAAACCATAGAATTGTTAAAAAGGATGTGGATGACTGGAATAGCTCTGCTCGGCAGAGCTGTGATCCACAAACCCTCAATTTTAAGTAATCGGTTTAAAAGGACAAGTCAATTAAGGTATTTTATGTACTTCTTTTTTCTTCATGCAAATTTTAATCTTGTAATGCCAAATGCATCTTTCATATTCGTCTAAACACCCTGTAATGAGCCCTTCACAAAGGTTTCATTAAAAATCTGATAAATACCACCATTAGCCCTGAGTAGATCTTCAAAAGCCTCACTCACACTGGCACATGCTTTTTAAAACTCCAGATCAATCAGCTGGCCAAAACATAGTTCACCATATTTGAGGCTTTGCTACCACAATCTTTTGTCTTAACAAACTAAGACCAAACTGCTTTTATTTGGGTATGAAAAGGTTTCCAGCAAGAAGATGGCCCCGAGAAAGCAGATGCAAGATGCCCAAAGCTGCTGCTTACAAGCGCCATCCTTCTCACAAACTAAAACCTAGGGGAAGTGCTCTACCTTAAAGCTCACTCAAAGCTTCTATCAGTTTTTATAAGAACTTTGTTGCAAATGGTTTTCAGATCACACAAAAAATCTGGTTTGAGCAAAATGATGAGCTAAATGCAGAGTTACACAACTTGCTCAAAACTATGAGAATTCATCGAGAGGTGAATTTATATTTCTACATTTCAATGCTTAAATTGCCAAGACTCAAAGGGAAAACCACCTATCAGTCAACATAAGAATATAAATTATTAATAAAACTTGCTTTTACTCTTACCTGTAGAATACTTTGCTTCCTTCACATTGAAAGGCTGAACTCTCAGATCAAAGGTATTTATCTGAAATGCTCCCGACACTGAAACAGTCTGCTCTTTGTTGCACATATAAGAACTTCCCAGGGGGGCATCCCAGTAGCTAAGGTTGTTATTTGCAACGCTGAAAACTTTTAAAAGAAAAGAAACACGTTAGTAACTTCTTATCCTATCAACATAAAAAGTGGGACAGTCCTCAGGATTTTTCAGTGAAGTATGAGAGCTTAGGGTACAGGGTCTACCCACAGAAAGCAATTCTTATGATCACTAGATTCCTTATCTTTCTACAGATATTTCTATAGTCTAAAAGTCAGTCCCACCCTTAACCATTATCCACCATACTTTGAAAATATGGGATACTGCAAAAGTGCCTTAGAGTTCTAAATTACTGATTTTAAGTTGTGGTCAAGGTACAATCTTCCCATGGAATCTTCTGTTCCATTAAATAAGGCACTATTTGGTAGCAAGACAATTATGGTTTCTATTCTTTCAGCATAACCCACACTTTTTTCCCCAAGGCCAATGCTTTGCTTACCAGAGCCATTAGCCAAAGACATGCTGATGTTTACTTCCTTCAGATAGAATCGGTTTTCATTTTTCTGTTTGAAAAAGAGCTTCCAGTTAATCAACACATCACAACTGTCTACAGGCACAGTTAATATCCACAGAAGAAAAGCAATCTAATACTATTACCCAGAAGATAAAACCATAGAGTAGACCTGGGCCAGCAGAATAAACTGCAAGTAAGTAAAGAGAATGCAAAATGTGACAGACTCCCTTTTCCTCCGCATTTTGTTTGCGATGTTTGGACCAGAGGTGTGGTTCCGTGGTTCTTAGACACTCGGCAATCCATTCCCTCCATTTCATTCGTCCTGTCCCTTGTGGAGCCCTCACCACCTCTAGCCTGGGTCAGGACAGCCTTGTAACTGGGCTCCCTGCCTTTCAGCTTCTCCAGCTCTAATCTCGCCTTCGCTGCTGTTCCCTTTCTGAAGCACTCATTTGATCAGCCAGTCATTCTGATTATTTCAGCACTGAGGATGTACAAGGTAACATATCTAGTGCTCCAGGGAGCTAGCAAAATGAACCGGACTCAGATCCCACCCCCACGGTGTTTGCCATCTGCCAGGGAAAACAAGATAAACCCACAAATAAATAACCATATTACAAAAAAGAAAGTACTAAGTTATGAAAATTAAAAGGAGATAAATTACTTCCAACTAGCGGAGGAGCAAAAGTAATACAAGCTTAGGGTCGGGCCATTAGAACTGGGTAGGATTCGATTAGGAAACAAGCAGAAAAGAGTACTGGAGAAGGCAACAACATGAGTAAAGGTAGTCAGAAAATAAGCATAAAATAAGCATACCACAAGTACGCCGGCATTGGAGAACTTGCTAAGTGCCAAGCACTGTTCTTAAAACTTCACATATAAGGCTGCATTGAATACTCACAACACCCCAATCTGAGATGGGGTAATTGAAGCACGGAGATGTTAACTAACTTCCCCCAAGGCTACATGGTTAGTAGTCAGTGAGCTGGGATTTGAACCCAGGAAGTCTGGCTGCAGAGCCTATGTACTGGTTATGACTACACTCTCCTATCTCACTGGATGCACACAGGGAAGAGGGCGAGGGGAGCATGAGATTCGTGAAGAAGGAAAGAAGGAAACCAGACACTGGAGAGGCAGGCTATACTGCATGGGGGGCGGAGGAGGCTTGAACTACCCTGCCACAGAATTTAGATGCTATTTTGTTGGCAAACAGACCCAGTGAAGGTTTTTGAGGAAGAGCTGTGTGCTTCAGGAAGATTAAACCGATGCAGAACATTAAGGGAGGGGAGGAAGAGGAGGGACTAGTTAGAAGGCTGTGTGAACAGTCCAGGTAAGAGGTAATGCAGGCTGGAATCAGCACGAAGGCAGTGGGGAATGAAAACGAGGGGACAGACTCAGAGAAATTTCAGGGGGAAGCATAAAGGAGGACTTGACAACCTCATCACATCTCTCCTCCACTTAGGCTATGTCTTGGCTCGGCATTCAAGGCTCTCCACATTTTGTCCCAACTAATTTTCCATACTTATCTTTCACTAAGCATGCCACATGCCTCATTCTCCCAGCTGGTCTTGGTTGTGTTCCTCTATCTAGGGATAACCTGTACTTTTCCACTTACTCCTCTTATCTCCACATGTACAAATCTGCCCCATCCCTGAAGGTCCAGCTCAAATGCCGTCTCTTCTGTTAAACCTTCCTGACTCTCCTCCAGCCAGAATTAACTGCTCCCTCCTTGATACTCCCATAGCAGTTTCTATTTTCCTCTGGTCTAGCACTCTTCCTACTTTGTATGCACCTTCCACAGTACTCTAACTGCCCACAGAATCAAGTTCAAAACCTTGAGCACAGCATTCAAGGCTTTCCACAAAACGGTAATGATTTGTATATTTCTATCTTTCCCACTAAACTGTGGGCACCTTAAGAATACAGGCCTTTTTCTTTGTATCTCACCATAGCATTCTGCACATAACACACTCGAATTCAATAGATTCTCCTTAGAAGCATCTATCATGACAGGCTCGAAGGTGAGATGGGCCCCACTGAACTCTGGTGACACTGCAGGTGTTTCTTGGGTTTTCAAAGTGCCTGTAGCATGGTTAAAATGTCACTATTTTGGATTACATTTTAAAATAGTCTGCTGGGAAAATTAAATATTGTAATTATAAAATATTTCCCCCATGAGAGTCAGGAGAAACCATGCTCCTTTTGGGATCCTATTGCAGCTAGAAACACCAAACTTAACCACTCAAAAGGGAATGAACCTAAAATATTACTTTCCTAATTCCTACTGACTATAATATAATCTCTAGGAGGTAACTTCAAAAGAGAACATGTCTGGGGAGGCCTGCTCTTACCGCAGTGGAGAGGATAAGCCTAACTAGACATTTTTAATAGTAATTCACTGGTCATATATGTACTCTAACATAGGAATGATTTAAATGCTGGAAAAGGGAAGATTTTTGTAAACCTTTCTAAAACATAATTGCCTAATATAATCCTCAGTCAGCATACATTTCATGGAGAAAAAAGGCTTTAGACTCAAGATACCAAGTTCAGACATGAAACAAATAACTACTTCCCATCCCTAGAAACAGTAATGTGATTTAAAAGCAGAACTGTTTTTATCCACTTAACAATAACTCTTAGTTTGAGAACTGTTGGTAGTTCAACATTTTCCTTCACCAATAGCTATCCCCTCTTTCCCATTCCCATATGCTCTAACACGTACACACACACACACCCTCAGAAAATTATGGCAACAATAATTGCTTCTGATAAGGTGGAAATAAAGGTTCCTGATGATTAATTTATGCTACAAGAAGTAGAATATGTATACTTAACCTGGAACCTTCTGTTTAGGGTTCAGCCCTTGATACAGGCATGAACAACAAAAACCTGAATGACGCCATTATAAACTACCCTGATTTAACAAATTAATGCATGTAAAGAACTTATACAGAGCCCTGTACACAGCAAGTACTCAATAAATGTTAGCTATTATTATTACTGATATGATTACAAATAGCATAGCCTCCAAAAAGCCTAAAGTATTATAGGAGACAAACATGAGAGTTTTCTAACCAATAATAGAGAAAAATATTATAGAAATTACTTTATATCTTTTATATATATACTTTATATATATATACACACATACACTTTATTATTACATATATCTATACGGATATATCAGACAGTTTTTTTGACGTGGGTTAATTATTTTTCCTACGCTAAGGTCTATATAACAACAGAATAGCCACTTTTGGTGAACATTAATGCAAGAGTCCAGCCCACAGCCCACTGAGGTGACCCTGAGATATTAACAGGCATCAATGGACTACATTTTATAATTAAGTAGTGTTGAAGTGGAAAGTAGAGCTAAATAATTCCCCCAACACATACACACACACACCTATTTAGACTTTCAGATGTGTTCTAAGAGAATGAACCCAATTTGAGAAAAATCTGTTACTCACCACAGCAAAGACAAAGTCAAGATACTTAATGCTGCTGCTGTTCAGCCGAAGTAGAGCAGTTTGAGGATGGCAGCTGCCACTGAAACCAGTTGCATTGGGGTTGATGTTAATAACCGAAGCAACCTTTAGGGGAAGAATAGGGAGGAAAGGTACAGATTAATCATAAAAGTCTACAGCAAAACCTTACACTCTAATAAGACCAAGTTCAGTGGAGAACAAAAAATCTTTTTTTGGTCTGGATACTTAAGTTTATGGTGTCTAACTTTCAAAAAAAAAGTTGGCACAGGCCCTCAAGCTAGGACTCAAATGACTTAAAAAAAAAAGAAAAACAAGAGGGAAGCTTCCTCAGTAAAGAGCCAGATGAAAACACACAGTTTTTATGGAGCTAAAGAGCCATCTGTCTAGCTTGTTTAAGTCGCAGGACTCTGGAAATAGGATTTCTTCATTGGCACGCCCTCTGTAGCCTCAGTGGAACATTGCAACTAGATGTGCCATGTGTACTTGAGCATATCTACATGATTCCAGTCATCAAATCGCTGGAGAAACAGCTGCACTGTTCCCTACATCAACCTACAATGCATTGCAGATAAAAGTGTAAAGGAGTTATATTTTAAACTGACTGAAATAAAGATCAACTGTTTGTACTATGATCTACTGATGGTAAATAGAGTCTAAACCCCAAAGAGTCCCTTAAACTGCTAGGTTTCCTGCTGGCCAAGACAACACCTTGACAGCGACATTAACTCTTCATGGCTATAGTAACTCCAAACTAATCAAACAGCAACAAGTCAACGTCAAATCTCCATTTAAAATGGAATCGTTCTTGTAACACTACTCTTGGACTAAAGGTAGGATATATCGTATTTGAAAGGAGATACAAAAAGAATGTATCACTAAAAATAGACAACTATACCTTATCGTGAGTGATGTTCAGCTGCAGCCCCATGGTAGCCAGAAGACAAGTATCACTGCCATTTTTAACCCAATAGGATCCAACGTCTGGTTTTCCCTTTGGAGATGGTGTTGCAGTAGCAGATGGCGTTGTAGTAGGAGATGGTGTCGTAGTAGGAGATGGTGTTGTAGTAGAAGATGGCGTTGTAGTAGAAGATGGCACAGTGCTGGGAACGATGGGCGCCGCTGTGGTTGAAGTGTTATCTTTCTCACACAGATACTCTAAAATAAACACACAAAGGACAAAATAAAGTAGATTTTTCCTTAAATCATAAGGCCAGGGAAGAGCAAAAAAATTCTTACAATAGAAGTTCAAAAGGGTTATATTAGGGGAAGGGAATACCTTGATAGTACGTTTTCAACTAGATGAGGCAGAGGTTCTCAAACTGCTACTTCATATGCAGGCAATCTCTCTAAGAGTTATGACACAGCAGACAAGCTCCAGACACATACAAATGCTTTATCTACTCACATATGGCCGCATATTCATCTTTCCAGACCCTTAATTCCCTTTATTTCCAAAGAACTTTACCTGCCTCTGATGTGAAAATCAGAGATTTATCTTTGAAAATATTTCGCCCCTATGTAGGCCTGCCCTCTTCTTTCCCACGTACAACCACTATAAGGAAAGATAGTGTTTACCAGAAAAAGGTTTAGATATCATTAAAGTATTTAAATACAAATGAACCTTTTATTTGTGTTACCCCTACAGCAAATCATAGGCATTTCACCTACTTCTTAGAAAGTGTTGGTAGTTTTCCAGAACTGGTGAATAAGAAATTATTACATTTCCATAAAGTCATATATAAGTTACAAAATCAATTTATAAAATTCAAGATTAGAACACAGAAATCTAATTTCTAAGCTTTGGTCTTAGATCATCAAAAGCGAAAGCACTGGTGATCAAGCTATTTGAGGATTTGTTCAAAGATTGGGCTTTATCAGCTGACAATATTATAGGTAGAGCATTTGAAAAAACCATTCCACAACATGTACCTCACAAACTTCAAATCGCAAGTTCCACAAGAATACGAACTGCTATTATTTATAAGAACTTTACAGTCTAGTGTAAGCTATGAATAAGTCTTAATATATAAATGCTTTCAGATAACGACTTCAACTAAAGCCACTGGTACACTCTAACCTTAAATCAGGACCCAAGCATAGAAATGTATACTTTAAGTACCCACCGTTTGTGCTCAGTGTGCCATTCTGGACAAAAGCTTGTACATGAACATCCCAATAGTGCTGGACAACATCCTTATTTTCTAAAGTTGATAAACTATTGCATCTAAAGATGTCATTCAATGGAATTTTCAATGCCACATGGCCATCAATAGTCTTAATTTCTGTAAAACAAGATTAACAATGCTGTTTCCAAGAAGGTGGGAGAAAAGTAATAATATAAATATATATTAGACTTCTCTTCTGTCTGCCCCATCCTATCTCCAAAGTGACAAAGGACATAGCATGTTCAGGGAATGACAAGCTTACTGTGGCTGAAACATGGGGAGGAAGAGGAAAGACATGATGGGGTTAGGAAGAAAAGAGGAGCTGCAGGTGGTCACACTTTGAAGCATCTTCTATGATCTGAGGACAGGTTGGGCTTTAAGCTTCAGTTTTTTTTTTTTTTTTTTTGAGGAAGATCAGCCCTGCGATAACATCTATTGCCAATCCTCCCCCTTTTTTTTTCCCCCAAAGCCCCAGTAGATAGCTGTATGTCATAGTTGCACATCCTTCTAGTTGCTGTATGTGGGACGCGGCCTCAGCATGGCCGGAGAAGCGGTGCATCGGTGTGTGCCTGGGATCCGAACTCGGGCCGCCAGTAGCAGAGCGCGCGCACTTAACCGCTAAGCCATGGGGCCAGCCCTAGCTTCAGTTTTTAAAGCTGGAAATAAATATCACACATATAATTTATTTTAAGGAAGACAGCCAAATTGTAGAGGATAGGCAGGGGAGAAAACTTTTAAGGAAAGTCATTTAAGAAGGAAACTAGTTACGAGGCTGATGACCTGGTTAAGGTGAAAGGCGAGGCGGGTACTGCCTAAACTAATAAACTAACATGGTGAGGGGCAGTAGGAAGAGAGCAAACAGGTCAAACTGAAAATATCTATCTAAGGTAGAATCAATAGGACTTAGTGACCAAACAAGGAAGCCAGATGGATTCATTAAGGATTTCATAGTAAATCCTTATTTTTGTGCTACTTTCCCAAAGTAAGTTATAGTCACTAAAATGAGCTTTTGTAACCTCTTACTGGATAGAATTTAAAGACTTCCATTTCAGGAAATCTTCAGAATGTGAAAGCAATAAGTTATAGCCATTCTGTACAGTTTTTATTATAATGCCTATAGTGAAACTTCCAAAGACTATGATCACACTTATCCACCCAAATGGCTTAGTTTCTTCTGGAGAAGCAGCAAGGAAGGAAGGTATTCAAGGTCTTTAATATAGGCTGCCTTCTGTGCCTCTCCATCATGAAGCAAGGCAGCCAAGCATCGCTGTCTTGACACCCCCTGACAGCCAAAGGAAATTTTTTTTTAACCAATGAACTATAGCATTTTTCTCCAGAACTGGTTCTCACCGTTAGCATAAGTGAAGAGATATATGAACTGGCTGTATATAGATAGACCTCAAAACAAATGAGTAAAAAAAAAAAACAAGTTGTACACATTTGGAGTTACACTATAAAATTCTATAATTTTAAACTATATATTACTGATGAACATATATATTAGTCAAATATAAACACGTAGACAGGAAGGCTACACCCCAAATTTGTCAGAGTAATTGCCTCTCTGCAGGCAGGGAGGAAAATGGCTGTGGGGCGTGGGTAGAGAGGAAACCTCAAGTGTATCTGTAAGATTTTATTTCTTTAAATAAATAAAAAGATGAGGCAAATATGCAAAAAATGGCATTAATTCTGAGTAATAGGTACATGTGGGTCTGTTACATTATTCTCTTTACTTTTCTGTATTTTAATCACGAAAAAAAATTTTTAAAGAAAACAGCAGCTTCAAAGTCACTTCAACTATCAGATGCTTAAAAATAAAACACTAAATTATTTCAAAAACACTTATCAACAGTCCACTTAAGAAGCCATTTTAAATTTCAAATAGTTTCAAATATTACACAGAAGCTAGTAACAAAAAATTGCATTCTCCCTTGTTTAAAATAAAAGAGGGGAGAGATAGGTGTTAACATTTTAGAGTCCATGGTTTTTCCATCAGATCCGTTAGATTAAACTCCACCTGCTTTTACTGCTACCCCCTTGGTCCAGGCACTCATTGCATCATCCCTTAATTACTCTTAACAGCCTCTTAGGCTGCCATCTCTGCCTGCCATCTCCTCACTTCCAAATTCATCTTGCCGAACATTCTTTATAAACTTCTGTCTATGCTTTTGTTATATCATTCTCCTGCTTAAAAACCTAAATGGTTCCCTAGTGCCTACCCCATCAAGCTAAATGCCTTTTCTTGGCTTCCAAGGCCCCCTTATAATTTAGACCTACCGCACCTAGCCAACTTGATTTTCCTTCTGCTACATGCACTGCCTCTATTTTAATCAGGCAGCGCTCCAATTACTGCTGCACATACTATGCTTCCCCCTGCTGGAAATATTCTGCTCAAAATTCTCTGCTTACTCAAATTCTACCATTAGCCAAGTTTCAGCTCAGGTCCTACTTCTCTACCAAACTTTCTCACTCCTCCAACGCACGCAGACCTCTCCTTTCTCTCTGCTCCTAATGAAGACCACTCGTGAGAACACTTTTAAATCAGGCACTCTCAACCACAGGCATCCACAGATGGGCTCAGGGACTACGTACCATATGCAAAGTTTACTCTGTACTTGGAGAGAGAGGGTCTAGAGCTCCCCTCACATTGCCAGAAAAGATTCATGAACCCTCCACCCCAAACACAAACAACAACAACAAAAATTTACACTGATCTCAATGCTTTCCAATTTTTCCATAACTTAGGAAAACAATTTTGCTTTGTCTCCAACTAGTTTTTAAGCTCCTTGAAAGTGAGGGGCAAAGCTCATACTAGTTCTAAAAAAGCATGTAGGGCACAAAGCTGAACATATAAGATATGCAATAACAAACCTGCTTTAGTTATCCTCTCAAACTAAGACATAAGTTAAAAGAAAACTAGGATTTGATTTCCAAGTTTCAGTCTGCAACACCTCCCAAGTATTACATGAGCTCATTCACTTCCGGGTCTTAAAAATAAATATGATCTTTTGACATCCATAAATCCAAAGGAGTCATTTATCCCCAGGTCTAGGCATCTGAAGCCCATATATCTGTGTTTCTGGGGTCAGAATGAAATACTATGTGTGAGAAATGCTGAGCTACTAAAAACACCATGTTAACCCCATCTCAATGGTGGGGGAAGAAAGAAGAGAATTATAGCCCTAACAAAACTGAAATCTCCATTACCCATGCCTTCAAAATATTTTAATACCCATTTCAGTTCTAGTAGTTACTAGAATGGCCTAATTGCCAATGCTTTCCCAAGTTCATTTTGACCTGAAATTGTCTCAAAATAGCAGAAAATGTTTACTTCAGTCATTTTACCTTTAATTAATCATCATTAACTTTTCAGTCAAAATCCTATCTAAATGGTAAAAAGATTTGAAGATGAAGTATCGCTGCTGGTCTCAGGTGACTGAACTTGTACACATTTAAAATAGTCATTAGTAAAGGGTTTTCTCATTCGAATACTCAACACTTGTTCAGTGCCCACTATTGAAATGAAACAAATAATAATAAAGTGCATGAACTCTGTAGCTCAACAGACTTTGGTTCAAACACCAACTCACCCACTTACTAGCTTGTATGACCTTTGGGAAAGCCATTTAATCTCATCAAGCCTCATTCCCTTTACCTGTAAAGTTGAGATAATATCTACTTCCCAGGCTTGCTGTTAAGGATTAAGTGAGATGCTGCTGGTAACATACTTAGGGTGTGATCTGGTACAAAATAAAGCACTCAAGCAATGACAGCAAATTATCATCACTGTGTCAAACACTGCTGTACATGGGGTGAGGGGGATACGAAGACATGAGGTTTCCATTCTAGTTAGGAAGACAGACATTCATAAGGATGATTTTTTCAATTATTTACATTTTTCTTATTATTAATAAAGAGCAAGAGAACATAACACAAATCCATTTCTTAAGGTTACCTTTTTTTTCAGCATCAGGAAATGTGGCGTTATCACCAGTATTGTAGGAAAACGAGATGGTGTCAATTGAATAAGCAGACACCTCCTTCGTGAAATTTACAGTCCAGGAAAAACCAGGTCCAAATTGTACCGCTATTCTGGAACCATGCTGGTTATCCCCACAAACACTTCCATTGTATGTTGGAGTGCCAAGGTCTGAAATGGTTACAGTTTTCTAAAAGAAAAAGAAGTTCAGGGGTAAGGAGCAAACAGGCAGTACTGAGCACCCAGCATTTAGGCAGGGGGTGCCACTTCAGCCTACATCACACATCCCCCATGGCCAGCTTGCCCTTTGCTTGGTTTGCTGTGGAAACCAGTCTCAGATTCTCCAGCTACATACCAATCCTCTGGACAAATTCATGTATATCTAAAAGGAAAAGGAAAAGGAAAATGGGCCTGAACTTCTCGAGTTGATTTTTTTAAAAAATCAGGTTGTAAGCAGGCAAGACCTTAACTAAAGGAAAATAAGAAGACAAAAGGATTGAGAGGATACCTTCCAAAAAGGAGATTTTAATAGCAAGCTATTTAAAAAAGGGGCAAATAGGGGGCCAGCCCGGTGGCATAGTGGTTGAGTCCCACACGCTCCACTTCGGCAGCCCAGGTTCTCGGGTTCCGATCCCAGGTGTGGACCTACACCACTCATCAGCCATGCTGTGGCGGCATCCCACATGCAAAATAGAGGAAGACTGGCACAGATGTTAGCTCAGGGGGAATCTTCCTCAAGCAAAAAAAAAGAAAAAGAGGAAGATTGACAATAGATGTTAGCTCAGAAGTAAATCTTCCTCACCAAAATAAATAAATAATAAAAAAGGGGTAAGCTTTGATGTTAGTACCTGTTAAAAATATTACAGAAGTAGTTATACCTGAACACCATATATAGTCTTCAGGTCATTTGCCCTAAACCAACTTCAAGAAAACTCCAAAGAACTAATGAATTAAAATATTCATTCCAACACTAAACAGAATACCTTCAAGTGTATATGTTAAAAAAAAACCCAAAGAATTTAAGTGTTAAGTCAGTTAACATATGAAATCTTATTTGTAGAAATGTATTTAAAGAATAAAAAAGAGAATTAAATTCCTACTATAAAACTCAAAGAAAAATACTTACGTAAGTTTCATTTGTAGTCTTATAGCGTATTGTGAAATTCATCTGCCATTTTGCATAAAGGCAAAGGGCTTTTTCTGAATCTGTCAAATTAAGTTCCAGTGCATAAGATGAGACAGCTCCTAGATTTATTAAAAAGAATAAGATTTTTAAATTGTACTACAAAAACACATAAAACAAAAACAAGCTCTATCCACCACTGAAGTTCAGTAAGCTCTAAAATGAAACAAAGTGTTTTTAATATATATGGTATCTCGGTGATTGTTTTTCTTTGTATTTTCAGCGGAATCCTATTGATAAAGTTAGCATTACCCCTTCCCAAGAGAATGGTTACTCAACCTAGGATGCTTAGGTAATGGCACAGACTGGTGACATTTGCCTCTTGCCTCCTAATAATCATTTCCACATTCATCTGTGCCTTGCTAGTTTTGTTTTAGGCAATCATAGTTTGCTTGTTAGGACTTTTGTTTTTTAAGATAAATGAGGTAAGGGGAAGCTTGGCAAGGATATTAAACTCCTGCTTCTCTCAAACCAGCTGGTGAAACTTTCTCTGCAAAAATGATAGACAGGCCGGCCCCGTGGCTTAGCGGTTAAGTGTGCGCGCTCCGCTGCTGGTGGCCCGGGTTCAGATCCCAGGCGCGCACCGACGTACTGCTTCTCTGGCCATGCTGAGGCCACGTCCCACATACAGCAACTAGAAGGATGTGCAACTATGACATACAACTATCTACTGGGGCTTTGGGGGAAAAATAAATAAATAAAATTATAAAAAAAAATAATGATAGATTTGATGTTCTATGGTCTTGTTGCTTTAAATCCTGACACAAGCTACAAGACCTATGACACACGGATGTCCTGGCATCTGTTTTTTTTCCTGATGTGAAGGTGTGGGATAGTTCTTAGCATGTGTACCATGTGACCAAAGTTGCAAAGTTGTTAGATCCATAAGCAAAAGGTCAATTTTTATAAATGCAACGTTCATCATTTTGTTTCATTTTAAAATCCAATTGATTAGAAAGGCTGATGAATCTTTTGACATGGATCAAAGTCACTTCCTACGTTGTCAACTGGCTACCTTTTTAGGCAGAGAATTCGGCTAACTTGATTCTGATCTTTTTCCCTGTGTTTAACCTAGTGAAAAAGATCAGAATAAACACAGGGACATTACCTCGTAAACTGAAGAGCCCGAGGACTCAAAACACTATATGCCAGAAAACACACCAGCAGCCATAAACGATGGGCTACCATCTAAGGATTTTCTTCACTGTCTCACACATTACCCCAGAGGTGAGCTGTTTCCTGTTAGGATAGCTGCAGATCCTTTAATGATATCTGAGCAATCCAGCATCATCTACAAGTAAGGACGTGCTATAGACTATAGAGAATAAAGTCTCAAGAGGAATACCAAGAAGGCATGCCTCAGCAACAGCTTTCAAGCTGTACACAAAAGCCTGCCGTCATGCTCGGGAGACCGGGCTGCCTTGCCAAGTCTGAACATTATGCTAAAGCTTGTGGTTACTAACACTGCCTAAATGTAGGGGCTCAGGCTCAAAAAGACCTTGTGAGGGCTAAGTAGGTTTTACAGCTATTCTTTACTAAGTACAATATGGAGTGGAGCTGTCATCCCTGATCCAAGGCTGCCCTGTAGTGGTGCTGAGAACTCTAGCTTACAATTTTTCTAATCAACTGGAGACCTGCTTTGTATATGCTGTCTCTCTCAGTCTTGTTTAAAGTCCCCAGCTTTAACGTATTCTCCTTGTATTCAAAGCTATTAGAAATAACCAAGAAAAGTCTCATGTGTATTTATCATTTCCTTTCCAAAGATATTAGAGTAACAGAAAGAAAACAGCATAAGGGGCCAGCGTGGTGGCATAGTGGTTAAATTCACGTTCTCCGCCTCAGCAGGCCCGGGGGTTCTCAGGTTCGGATCCCAGGCACGCACCTACACACTGCTTGTTAAGCCATGCTGTGGCAGCATCCCACATACAAAATAGAGGAAGACTGGCACAGATGTTAGCTCAGGGCCAATCTACCTCAAGCGAAAAGAGAAGGATTGGCAACAGATGTTAGCTCAGGGCCAATCTTCCTCACCAAAAAAAAAAAAAAAAAGAAAACAGCATAAAATAATAATAGTATCCATGTGTGCCGAGGTGGGAGAACTGAAGCTTTATGAAGTAGAACGCACAGGTTGTGGTTCCAATTTTGCACTACATTAAATTCAAAACAGTCTACCCACCAACCTATAAATGAGAACTGAGAAATGCCCTGAGGGCTCCAGCACATTCTGTTCCAGTCCCATCAGAACCTCTCTCCCTGTGAGAGCTTTTCCTTTCACACAGCTTACTTTGCTTCCCCGTTTATATCTCCAACTGCACAGGGACCACTCTTACTCAAATACATATCATCTCAAACTCAACAATTCCCAAACTGAAATTCATTCGTCTACTTCCTCCCAACCTTCTCAGCCTCTCTAGCTCTAAATGAAAGGCAGGACCACATACAGTCACTCAGGCTCAAAAGTTTAGGAATTAGCTTATACTTCATTCTCTTCTTGAAGTCCTATTGATTTTTTCCTTCAAATTCTCTCTTAAATCTAATCTTAGCCTTTTATTTCTACTCCCAATCCACCACCCCACTCAATTACCACAGACACCTCTTAGCTGCCTTAATGGTCCTTAAATACCTCTTCCTCCCAGGACACTTTCTTGTTCAAAAATTTTTACTAGCCCCAAAATTCCCATATTAAATTTAAATCCTCTGCCTGACTTTCAAAGTAATCCTTAATCTTGTCCCATCTTAGTCCTTTCAACTTCTCTCAAACCATCTTCCCAGAACACACCCTTTGATCTGGTTAAACTTGTTCCACTGGACTCAAATGCCAAGCTCTAGTCAACCTCTACCCCTAGGCTTCTATTGTTCCTAACATTTGAAATCTACTTTCTTCTACTGACCTAAATGTTCAACCTCAGGAAGGGTTTCACTCTCTTTTTGGCTGCCCAAAATCTGAAATATCCTCCCTCCCACCCTGCCTTTCTTATAATTTCTGGCAGGTATAACCACCCACTATAAAAGCTGAAAATGCTAGATACTTGCTTTCCCAGCCTGCCTTGCAGCAAGGATGGGCATTTGTGCTAGGCTCCGCCTAACAAAGGCCTCCACCCCAGATTTTGAATAGGAGAGGAGCAGAATGGAGCCAGGAATGGAACTATCACCCTCAGGTGGAAGCAGCTACAGCAGGATCAAGCTCCTAGGGAACAAGGCCAGCAGAGCTAGTAGTGGCAGTGGCCAGTGGTATAAACTGCAATTCAATGCTTGGCAGTGGTAGTGCGGTTCAGTAGTGTGATCTGAGGTATTGAACCAGGCTTTGGGATATACAGCTAGGAGCTCCAGTAATTCTGAGTTACCTAATATATTTTTAATAAGTAAAATTTTATTGATGTGTAACATTGATCAGAAAATGCACAGCATAACATACGGAAGGGAAAACTTTACATAACATTAAGTGTACAGCTCAAAGAATTTTCATAAACTGAACCCACGTGTGGCAAGAAACAGAACATTCCAGGAAGTCCCCTTGTTCCCCCTTCCAGTTACTATTTCCCTCACAAGGGCAACCACTATCCTGACTGCTATCAGTATAGATTAGTTTCACCTGTTTTTCAACTTGCTCTAAATGGAATCATTCACTATGCTTTCTTTGTGTCTGGCTTCTTTCAGTCAATACTGTTTGTGAGATTCACCCAGGTTGTTGTGTGTAATTGCAGTTGGTCCATTCTCACTCTGTATGTACAGCTTTCTATTACGGGGTGAATACTCCACCACTTATCTATGCTACTGGTGATGGGCATTTGCATAGTTTCCAGTTTGGTTCTATTGCAAAATGGACACATCAGTGAACACATGTGTATGTGGGTCTGTTGGGTATATATCTAGGAATGAAATTGTGAGGTCAAAGGGTATGCATGTTCCGATATCTTTTTAATAATAATAAGTTCCTTTTCTGCTTAAAATTGATCAGATTTTATTTCTGTTGCTTACAATTAAGAACCTGGATTGATATGCCATCCATTTTTCAGCAGCCATTTTCTCCATGAAGATTTCCTTGACTATGAAAGCCCTCCAGCAGCATTCACAGTGCATGTCCCCACTTTTCAGTATATTTTATACTATCCTGAATTATTCAGTTATTTTATGCCTGTAAATCCTGTCTTCCCTATTGTCATAAGCTCCAAAACAGTAGTTTTCAACTGTCACTTTGCAACAAACTGATGTGCCATGGTAAATTATAGTATACAGCAAGTAATTTGTTAACTAATAAAAAAGTACCAAAGTCTGTGAATGAATGATACATATGGATAGATTCACGATTCCCTTTTGATAATGTCTCTGTCGCTCATTTGAATTCCAATAGGCTGCCTTAAACAGAAGATCTTATCTATGCCACAGCCCCTAGAAGTGTGTCATTTTTATGAATATCATCCATCATGGGTGTCATGGCAGAAGAGACCATGACTATTACTTTTCCTTTGTCTCCTATCATTCCTAGTAGTGTGAAACACATACTACAGTCTCAATAATTACTGATTGACTATATCAAGGTAAAATACCCTGCGATAAGGACCTGAAATGTGGCTTAATATAGGAATAATAATACAGGAAGGCCAATCTTTTAGCTCTTCCAAATCACGAACCTAGCCTATCAGTCTTCTGGATACTCTGTCAATCCCCATGTCAGTTTTCTCAAGAAATTTTGACATGGACTTCAAGCTAGGAATAATGCTTTTCCCATAAGGTAAGTTTATAGTTGAAACATTTACACTTTGGTCAAAAACTTCTGGCAAGCCATTTCCATCCTTATTGCTGTGCTTGATTTTAGAATAGCCAAACCATTTTTGTTTAAAAGGCTTTACGACATTTAAAAGCCACAGCTGAATATATCCCAGAGTGTGCAATTATAAAGCTGAGAGTTTATTCTCCAAAGAAAAAGGCGTGCCTCAAAATCAACTTTCTCAAATTCAAATACCCTCTCAATCTTATTTCCAAAGAGATCATTTATAGGTTCTTTCAGAATTCAGAATTCATTTCTCCAAGCATGAGATACTGCAAAAAATGGCTAGGTTTT